TGGAGAGCATTCACTCAGTATCGTTATCTCATTTTTGACCAAGATGGCTTTTAGAGGCTTTTGCATTGGAACTCTTCATATATATATGGAGAAAATTGAACCTACAGTACTGTTTTTCAGCTAATTCAGGGGACCTCAGAGAAAACTTGTCTGAATAGAAATATGTGCTATTGTGATTTTTTAACATTTAAAAAAAAAAATGAATACACAGTGCTAGTCTTTTCTTAAAAATTCCATGAAATTTATGGTAAAAAAATGGCAGCTGTTGTTGCGGTTACGGTAGCAACATTTTAGGTTTTATGGACTAAACTTTGATTTACAGTAAAACAAAAGAAAAAAAAGTGAGTGAACCGTGTCATGCAGACAAATACAAAACACATGACACTAAAATGATGTATAATAAACAAAATCCCAATGTATAATGTACGTTTGACTTCTTTTCCACTTTTAAAAAACTGTAAATTTAACAGTAATTTACTGTAAAATGACATGAAATGTCCTGTTAGATTTATTCTTATTTTAGTTTTATTTATCACTGTACATAGTAAGGGAATTTCTTGTCAACTAGTTAACAAGTGTTTACTGTAGCATTTTCAAATTTTTTTCAATGTTTTACAGTGTTCATTTATTTTGACCTTAATTATACATAACATAACTAAAGCGAAACATTTTTAAAATGAATTATGCCAAGACTTTTTTTGCCAGCTTTTTGAGTAAAATAGCAGTACTGCTGACATCCCATGCTAAAAATAATTAAGTCTGCTTATTTATTTACTTGTTTTATTACTTTTATTACTTGTTTGTAATAATGTTATAATACAATTCCTTATTCTACATCCAGACAACAGACACTCCCACCTCAGTAAAATTTAGACATCCCTATTCTGTTCGATTCAGTAAATGAAATGACAGACGTTCTGCATAAAAATAGTAACTCTGATGCCATATATGAAACAAATCCCATCCAAACAGTGTGTTAGACTATGCATTTTGCTGGTCCCCATGTGTCAGTTCATTTTCTCTCTATTTCAAAATCGTTCTTGCTTCTTTTGACTGTGGGGCAAGGTGAGAGATGGCACAGGGGCAGATTTTGCTGAGTAGTGTTTGGGTGTATGAGGAAGGGGACAGGTCTTTTTCCAGTTGCTGAGCACAATCTTGACCTCCAGCTATGCTCTGAAGTGCGGCTAATTTCATCCCTTGACACACAGCAGTCTGAATCTGCCCTGCTCAAAGCTCAACTGAGCTTAGCGGTCTTAAGAAGCTAACAAAGACAGCTGTGGTCAAAAGCTGCTTCACCAGCAGTGCCACAGGTACATGGGGATACTGTAAGAAGAGCTGGAATGGGAGATGCAACGGTGATAGTGAGATCAAAAATTATGTTGTTTAGTATGTTCAGTGAAGGTTGATAATAATAGGAGATTCTTGGGATAAATGTCTCAAAAACATACTTAACATTGACCTAACAAGGTGATACTTCATGACATTGCTAATATTTTGGGAGCAGATTACAGTATCAACCTCATACCACACTGTAAAATGTGGCAGTGTGCAATTGTTACTAGAAAGAACTGTTTCTACCTGATCCTACCATAAAACTTAGTTTTGTTGGTGTAACCTAATATATTTGGGTTGATTCAGTAATTTGAATAAAATGAATGTAGTTGTTGAACATGAAGCTCATTTTTAAGTGAACATTTTGTCATGGCCAAAAACCATACCATAATATCATGTCCAAAAACCATATTATGTACCATGTTTGTTATTATGATGATGTTTTGCAAAATTTAGCTAAATGTTTTACTAAATTCAAGTGCTAAATTTCAGTCCAATTTAAGGATTACATTTAGTATCAGAAAAGTGTATAAAAATAATATTTTGAACGTTTTAGAAGCAAGATCCTTATTGAAGTGATTTTGAGAGAGAAAAACACCATTACGGCTTAGGATGACAGTCACAAGATTGTGTGTACTAGTCGTCATGCTTGTTAGTTTCTGCTTGACTACTGTGATATTGCATTTAGCCCGTGGCCTGTTGTAAAGCAGACGTCACACAGAATACTTCGTCTGCTGCGTTTCCGTGGCAACTGGGCAGAAATGTACATGGCTCATCCCCTTATCGCCGGACGACACTCCTATTCCTGCCCCAGGACAAACCACATCCCCCCAAATTACCATATCCATATAGACACACACACACACACACACACATTATGTTTGTAACAGTGCCCATGACTACAGTTTTTTCATCTATTGTTAAAATCCTGCTGCAATTACTAAACATACTTCATTAAATATATTCACATTGACCTCTATTTGTATTCTTACTGATAGCACAGCAAGAGGACATTAAATTGATGAAAAGGGACATTAAAGACATTTATAATGTTACAAAATGTCTCTATTTCAAATTAATGCTGTTCTTTCTATTTGTCAAAGAATCATCAAAATGTATCACAGTTTCAACAAAAAAACTGTTTTCAACACTGATTGTGTTGAATAAAAATGATAAAGAAATGTTTCTTGAGCAGCAAATCAGCATATTAGAATGATATTTTAAGGATCTTCATGTGACACTGAAGACTGAAGTAATGATACTGTAAAAAAATGACATTTTAAAAAATTTATAAAAATAGAAAACTGTTATTTTTAAATTGCAATAATATTTCATAATTGTCACGGTTCTGCTGGTGTGCCCTAGTTGGCCACCAGATGTCACTGTGTTTTGTTGAGCACATGGCTTGTTGTTTGTTGTTGGTGCCATGTGCTCTCCTGTCTATTGTCTGACCCCGCCCTTCTTGTTATCTCATTATTGTTTTAGTTACTCCACCTGTGTCTCCCTCGTTACCCTCCTCATTTGTCTCCCTAATTATTCTCCTTGTGTCTGCAGTCCTGTGCTGGTTCGTTGTTTAATGTATTATGTCTGAGTGTCGATGTTGTATGTGTAGTGTTGCCCTGCCTTGCCTTGCCGTGCTGTGCTGTGCCCTGTCCTGGCCTGCCTGCCTGTTTTTCCCCTTTGGGGTAGTTTTTGTAATTTTTTTGTTTTTTTCCCATTATTAAATGCCCATTTCATCCTGCATTTGAGTACTCGCTTCATCTCTCTTCCAGTTCCCCGACAGAACGAACCAGCCCAGATGAGAACTCAGCAGATGAAGGGCTCACTCCAGCTACCAGCCTTCACTACCAGCAGCCCCCTCTATCAACGTATGCTTCAAGTGGAGGCCTTGAGTTCCCTAAAGCAATGGGGGACTGATTTGAGGGAATTCGCCAGTGAGTTTTGGAGTGCTGCGGAGGGGCTGGGCTACAACGATGTGGCTCTCAAGGACCTGTTTACCTACGCCCTTGATGAGCCCATCAGTACCTGGAGGAGGTTTGGCAAGAAGCACCTGTCTTTTGGGGGCATTTGTGGACTTTCTAGCCCACAATGGGAGGCAGTCAGAGGTGTCTTTTCCCGTCATGGCCGCCATTCCAGAGTCTTGTCCTGTCATGGCCGCCACTCCAGAGTCTCGTCCCGTCATGGCCGCCACTCCAGAATTTCGGTCCGTCATGGCTGCCTTTCCAGAGCCTCTCGACAAAATGGCTGCTAGTTCAGTGGTCCTGGAAGACCCGAATCCGGTGTTCCCTAGTCCGGTGGTCCTGGAGGACCCGACTCAGGTGGTCCTTAGTTCAGTAGTTTTAGAGGTCCCTGAGCTACCCACGCCAGAACAGCCTGCCACAGAACAGCCCATTCTCACGGCTGCTGCCATGAAGGCCGTCACTGAGCAGCCCACTCTCCTTGTCTCAGCCAGGGAGGCCGCTACAGAGTTGCCCAATTTCACTGCTGCCGCCACGAAGGCCATCACTGAGCAGCCCACTCTCCTTGTCTTGGCCATGGAGGCCGCTACAGAGCCGTCCGATTTCACTGCTGCTGCCAGCGTCAGGAAGGCTGTCTTTGCCTTTCACCTAAGGGCTGTTCTGCGGGTATGGGCCACTTCGGAGTTCACTCCGGCTGCCCAGGAGCCTGCTTCAGAATCCACTTGAGAGCCTGCTCCAGCCCAGGAGCTCTCAGAATCTGCTCAAGAACCTGCTCCAGTCCAGGACCCTTCAGAGTCCACTCCAGAGCCTGCTCCAGTCCAGGAGCTCTCGGAGTCCAATCAAGAACTTGCTCCAGTCCAGGAGCCTTCAGAATCCCCTCCAAAGCCTGCTCCAGCCCAGGAGCTCTCAGAATCCGCTCAAGAACCTGCTCCAGTCCAGTAGCCTTCAGAGTCCACTCCAGAGCCTACTCCGGCCCGTGGATCTGCTCAGCCATGGTGGTCAGGAGCTCTGCCTGCGCTGCTGTGGTGGTCTGCAGCGCCACTGTGGTGGTCTTCTTCAGCCCCACCTGCACCAATGTGTTGGTCTCCAGCTCCACCTGATCCACCATGGTGGCCCTCTCTCCCATCTGCTTTGCTGTGGTGGTCATCTGCTCCACCATGGGGATCTTCAGTAATGCCTCCTCGGCTGTGGTGGACTTCAGCTCCGCCCTTGAGGGCTTTAGCTCCACATGCTCCGCCCTGGAGGGCTTCAGCTCCACAGGTTCCGCCACACGGGCCCTGTCCTGGCCTGCCTACCTGTTTTTCCCTCTTGGGGTAGTTTTTGTTTGTTTTTGTTTAGTTTTTTTCCCATTAATAAATGCCCATTTCATCCTGCATTTGAGTCATCACTTCATCTCTCTTCCAGTTCCCTGACAATAATATTACTGTTTTACTGCATTTTTTATCATATAAATGCAGTCTTGGTGAGCACAAGAGACAAAAAACATTAAAAGCATGTCAACATATTCTGTTACACCAAATACACAAAATAATGATCTTTAAAAAAGCATCATATGACCCCTTTAAAAAACTTACAGCTTCTAAATTTTGAAAGATAGTGTATGAGCAATGTACTGAACCTAAAAATGACACATTTACTGCTTGTACATTGAACACACACTTACACAAAGTGCACATTCACAGCTCACCTTGTGTCTTTGTTCTTTTGCAGTGTTCATATCCTGTCTGGGAAGACTTCAGTGCCAAGGCCACCAAGCTGCACTCTCAACTCCGGTAAGTTCAGTCTCTGGCTCACATCCGCACCTGTCATGTGAGGAAGGTTTTATTGAATGCTGAGAAAAGAAAATTGTCATCAATTTATTCCTTTGGTTTTGTGCGTTTCAGAACCACGGTTTTAGCAGCAGTGGCATTTCTGGATGCCTTTCAGAAGGTGGCGGATATGGCAACCAACACAAGAGGTAGGCATGATCAGGGATATGTGAGAGCGTGTGTTTGTGTGTGTGATTGAGGGTGTGCGCTTTCTGTCCAGCATGCAGGGATATGTATATCCCATTATGAGGGTAATGCATAGGATAAAACACTACTGGAGAGAGAAAGATAACTGTAGGGATGCACCGATACCACTTTTTCCAGAACGAGTAAGATACAATACTTTTATTTTTGGTACTTGCCGATACTGATACCGATACCTGTATTTTCAAAACATTTGTAATTTTTTGAAAATATTGGGTACAGAAACCTAGCACATGTAAAGCACATTTCACACAGGCTACTAGTTTCACTTTCACTTTAAATAAATATGTTGTTTATAGTGAATGCCATTATAAATTTAGTTTGTTTTGTATTCACGATTTCATTTTAATCCAAATCATGTGTGTGCTAAGTGAGCGAAGAGCAATCAAGATCATGCAACACAAGTGCGCACACTCTCCCTCGCTCTATCTCTCTCTCTCCTTACTGTCAAGTAACTTTAGTAATTGTTTCGTATTTGCTTTTGCTTTTTGACATTTCCACTCAGCGTGCTTTGCTTATCAGCTTGTGCACATCAGCTACAGGCATGAATATTGAATGTTTAACATTATATTTATATAATTAAATGCATGTACTTCATAGACATCTCTGTTACTTCATTAATCTCTGATAACTCCATTCTACTCTCTGTTGTTCTGTTGTCGGTGCTACTTTGTCTGGGCACAGCACTGTTGACACGTTGTGTGCTATCAGAGCATTTTAATGAGTATGAGTACGAGTACATGAGCGCGGTATCAGGCCCGATAATGAGTGTCCAAAACCAAGGATTATAGAAGGTACAGAGCCAGACCCTCTATATTTAATGCTCTCATCTTGCAAACAATGTTTGTAAGAATGTATTTGTGTTAATGTCCATATTCGTGTTCATGTACTTATTTTTATGAATTGGTTAGATGTTATTAGCAAATAATTAAACATAACTACATTATTCATCTCTGGTGAGTTTTGAACAGTCTGTTCACATGGCAGAAATAAGCGGATGTTATAAATCCTTGACAATAATGGATAAATGAGAGGGAACAAAGACGTGCCTCATAGCTGTAGAGAGGCTTGCTGGGTGTTTTTGGTTATTTATGGCATGGTGCTTTAGTAATGATTTGACAGAACCAAGTTCTTCAAGGATAATCGACTGATGGAAATAATGTTGTTTGGAAATAAACCACCAGTCTCATTATGATTATATTACGGTATTGGACCTTTTTCTCTTCATCTGGGGATTTGGATTTTTTTTTATTTCATCTCATTTTGTGGCCTGCATGCCTGAGGTAAAGAGTGTGTTTGAAGGAGTATGATGATCTGCATTGTTATGGGTTCATGTGGGCATGTTGTGCTTTTAATGAGCTGACGGAACTGGGAGCCTTCCTCTGTGCCTTGTAAAAGCAGTGAGGATCTCATCCAACCCCAATTGTGACTCATAGGTGGCTATTTCAGATGGTGGTTTGGGGGTACATAAAGCATAAGGGAAGCTTGAAGAGTGAGTGAGAACAATTAAAGAAAGGAAAAAGTCACAAGGCTATAAGAAAGTGAGACAGCATAATTTATTACAACAATTATTATTCACTCCACCTTGTAGCTGTAGACTGTGACCTAAATTTTGTACATTTATTTTATTTTACTTTTTTACTTTTTACTTTAAATTTTTACTTTTTAAAATTTTTACTTTTTATTTTAATTTATTACATTTTTTATGTTATTCATGTGTGCAGCCATGACATATTTGATACTGCTTTGGAATGTGTTATTCATTATATTTCAGTTATTGTGACAACCAAGTTTCTCAATACAAATCAATACAATTATGTAAGTTAAAATTATTTTTCATTTTATTTATTTACTTTTAATTATTATTGGTATTAATGACAATTATTCAACTTAGAGTTGTGTCCTTAAAGAACAAAACATAGACTGTAGTTGCTTTGGACAGATAAATGTCTTTTTGTCTCATGCAGTGTTCAAAATTGTTTATTGTTCTCAAGCTTTTATAATTTTCTCTCAGTGTGAATTAAATTTATACACTGCAACATTTTTGCAGTGTTCTCTTTTTGATCTATTCTCAATTCTATTCTCAATCAGTCTATTATTTTCCAATGATAATACATTATTAAAAAATGCATCTTGAATATAAATGTAATTTGTTGTTATTCCAATTACACATTTTCGGCTAATTTTAAGCATAATTCTCACTCTCTTATATACTTACATATCTGGTCAATTCACATGTTCACTGTTGTCTCATTTCCCTGACCAGTAATTTACAGTTTGTATAAATTATAGATGACAGTAAAGTTATGTAGCACAGAGCTGGTGTCTTGGATGTAGGTCAGATGCTGCATCACACTCATTTAACTCTCATTTTAGCATTGTTTTAGTGATTTGATATTCAAGCTGTTCAGTCAAATTTCATTTTCTCTGTTGTGATTTAAACATGCATCAGCCATAGCCCACATCCAGCCTTTGGCTCAGGATAGACTGTAGTTGAAAGGATGACAACAGCTTTCACAGGTTTACATTTCAGAATGAAGAGAAACACAAGGTGTGAATATGATAGTATGCTTGGGGTGCTGTGTAACATGATATAAGTCAAGTGAACTCTGATAGGATGATGTACCATAATGTATTTAATGCATAAATTTTTTTGGAAACTCCCATTCTAGCAGGGCTGTCATCAGACAACTGGGAATGTTGTGGGTAAAAGATCCCACTATGGTTCTAATTGGGACCCTGAAAATCCTAGTGTATCTCAAAAAAAGTGTATGTCATTGCCAAAAACCTAGGCTCATTGGAAAAACATGCCTCTTCCTACATTTTTGCAAAACTTGAAAAATGCATCTATATATACTGTATAGTTTATATAATTCACTTCAGTTTACAGGTGAAATGAACACTAGTGTCAGTAAAACACCAATAACTTTTATTCCTTTTCACACAAATACGATTACCATAGTGGATGATTTGTAAACTTACATATTTTGATGTTTGCATCACATAACCAGCTCCATATGTACTGCTTTTCTGATGTAATCTTGTTCAGTAGCTCACCTGGGACAAGTTTTGTACAAGGTTTTGTATTGTGGAGTCCTGTGAAACAGTAGTCATGATAAAAGAACTCAAAGACTTAAAATAGCTAAAATGGCATGGTTAATTTTTTATCTTGTGTGGTTTTGTTAAGTATGTCATTTTCAAAAAGTGAAGGAGCATTAACTTTTTAGTGCCACTCACTGGACATTTAATTTGCAAACTGCCGTGATATGTACAACAACTACCAATATAACAAAACATAGGCAGATTCACCTTCATCAGTTTTGGATAAAATATAACATGCTTTTACTGCCACTCACTGGATATTTCACTTTGAAATTGTTGCGAAACAAGCAAGAAGCGATGTAATATTTTTTATAAATGTCACCACAGGCACATTTCTCCAATGAGCATGGGTTGCATATTTATGTGTAGCTGGTAAGGTTTATGTTTGGGAGACAAGTTTCACCCCCTCCCCATCACAGCACACAGACTGCCACGAAGCAAAGAGGAGGGGACGGCAGTGAACCGCAGTGAAACGGAAGCAAACACAACCACACACAAACACACTCCAGGCCTTTATCCTCTCCATGGGGGTCCGCCACTATAGTGAGGGAGGAAACTGTTGCTTCCTGCTAGTAACTGCCTATAATCTGCTTCTCATTTACTGTTCTTTACTGCTCTTTATCCTTAAGTTCATGCTCTTTCTCCTTTCCTACCACGATTGGGTCTAGCTAGCTCTCTTCATCACTAGCATTATTTCTTGTGTTCTTACATTGGCAGTAGATTTACTTAAAGAGACAGTTCACCCAGAAATGAAAATTCTGTCATCATTTAAGGCTGGAATATACTTGTCACACACACACTCACACACACACACACACATTGGGAGCGCAGGAACGAGCGAGGAGACGAGGAATAAAGTAAATCAAAAATGTTTTAATGAAGGCACGCAGGATCACAGGACGGGAGACATCAGGCAAACCAAAATGACACTTAACAGCAGACAGAGAACTAGGAACTGAGAACACTTTAAATACACAGACACCAATGGGACACACCTGAGAGCAAATGAACTAATTAATCAAAACACAGCTGGAGACGAATACACACAATGAGGACAGGAACAGGAAGGACCAAATAAGGGCAAGGAAGGCACATGAGGAGCAAAACACAGACCAGAGTCTGACATGGGGGTGGGCGCTCTGGAGGCCTCTAGGAGTAGGGTTACCAGACGGAAGGCCTCCATGGCGGCGCCCGTTCCGGGATCCGTGACGGATCTGGCAGCTCTGGGCGCCATGGCAGATCTGGCAATTCGGGGTGCACTCCTGGCCAAAACTGGGGAACTGGATCCCCTGGAGCTGGGAACGGCACTCCTGGTCGAAACTGGGGAACTGGATCCACTGGAACTGGGAACAGCACTCCTGGCCAAAACTGGGGAACTGGATCCCTTGGAACTGGGAACGGCACTCCTGGCCATGACTAAGGAACGGGATCCTCTGGATCTAGGAACGGCACTCCTGGCGGTGACTAAGGAAAGGAACCGCTGGCGGGCTTGACATCGGCGCGGCCGGCGGGTTTGACATCGGAGCAGCCGGCGGGCTTGTCTTCGGAGCGGCCGGCGGGCTTAAGTGAGCCGTGGCCGGCGAAGAAAATGCTCTAAACAAATGTGACATTTATTTTTTCCTCAGTTTTTGCTGTTGCACTGACTGTATATATACATTGTAAATTATGAGAATTAAAAAAAAATTGTTAATTTATCTTGAAAAAATATTGCAGAAAATGTAGCTTTGTGAGAATCATCTCAAACTTAATCTTAATGTTTCATGTCTTAATATTTTTCCTTTTGTTATAATGGGATAAATCATACTGGGATGTATGCTAAAATTGTTGGACTTGGTGCTCTAGAAAATATTCCACCAGCCGCCACTGGTGTATTCCAACCTTTACTCACAATCATGCCGTTCCGAACCTGACTTCATGTGGAACTCAAAAGAAGATGTTATGAATAATGTCTCTTTTTTTGTGCCTACAGTTAAGGTCACTGGGGTCCAATGTTGTTTTGGACCCCTTTGACTAATTTTACAGACAAACCAGTCAAAAAATAAATATCTTCTTTTGTGTTCCACAGGGGGAAAAATCATACAGTTTGGATGACAAAAAGAGGATAGAAGTTTCATTTTTGGGTGAATTATCTATTTGGTCTGAGCCAAAATCAAAACAAAAAGTGCTTTGACTTGTCTTCTTGGCCTCTCACTCTCTTTCTCCTCTTGCTGAGTCTCTAACAGAGTTACATTAAATTGTAATAATATTTCACAATATTATTGTTTTGACTGTATTTTTACTCAAATAGGGTGAGCATACTGTAAAAGACTTCTTTGAAAAACATAAAAAGTACCTACCCCAAACTTTTGAACAGAAGTGGCGGTTCAAAAACAATGAATCTTATTAAAAAATTGAATAATGAATGAAAATAATCATATTTTTATTTAATATTTACATTCCCAATGTAAAAAAAAGTCATAAGATTTGGATGACTAAATGATATTTCATTTTTGGGTGAATTATCTCTTTAAGGTTATGGTCTCTGACTGTCTCCTTTAAGGAAAATTGGGGCTTTAGCCAAGTTTTTGGCTTTTTCACATGTGTATAATAAGTGGCAGGGGGAAAGAATACAGCGTCGGGAGGCCTAGATAATAATCTTGTTCTGTATGGACGGATTCAGTGGAGGGAGTCCGGCTGTGTGTGTGAAAACCCTAATTCATGAGCCAGAATCAAAACAAAAAGTGTTTTGGCTTGTTCTCTCGATCTTCCTCTCGGCCTCTCACTCTCTTTCTCCTCGCGCTCAGTCTTTCACACAGAGACTCTCTTTCCCACTCTGTTCTTGGCAGTGGTGGGAATGAATGTTGATAGATCACAGTCTGTCCTGGAAGCCTGGCACGGGGGCTCATAAAAAAGACAGTCTGCAGATGTGTGCGCAGCGCGGAAGGCTCGTCCAGCGCTTCATAGGGGTGTTTTACTGCCTTGCCTGCATGAGCGGAATAGTAGCAACCATAATGAACATCATAAATCTGATTCTTACACCAGGGGGCAAAATGGCTGCCCCTCATAGTCAAAGAGAACATGAAAAAAATGTCTGCCAGATCAGCAACTGGCGAGCTATTTGCAGAATCAGTTTGTGTGTCTGAGTGTGTTTGTGTGTGTGATGGGGGTTAGTATTTCCCCAGATGTTTGAAGTAGACTGGTGTAGTCGGCAGGGTGTTACCACTCACACGGCCGTGTAAGCAATCACCAGCCAAACATTCTCAGTCGCCTTAACATGTCTATTTCTGATAGGGCCTAGTGTAGATTTACACTGCACACTCTATAATATCAACAAGAGATAGTAAATCCTGCTTGCAGTGATACACAAATTTGTATGTAGTACAAATAATACATAATGAAATTTTCACCATAGGAACACCTCAGCCGTTATTTAAGTGGCCTAAAACATCAAAGTATGAAGTTGTGCTGTACACATGAACAGTGTTGGGAAATTTATTTAAAAAATAATTAAGGAATATTTAGTAAAACTACAAAAAAAGTTGCTTTATAATGAGGCCATTACTTATGAACTGCAATTGTCTTGAACACATTACATTACTTTTGCATTTCTTTTTTTATAATTTTTTAGAATTTCATATCAATCCATATCAGTCTTCACCAAATGAAAAATTGAAGGCAATGATTTTTTGGTTTAGAAATTAATACTTTTATGCAGCAAGGATGCATTAAGTAAAAATAAAGTTATAAATAGAAATATATTTTGCACAATTAACCAACACAACTGTTTTAAACATTGATAATAATAACAAATGTTTATTGAGCAGCAAATCAGCATATTAGAATGCTTTTTGAAGGATCAAATGACACTTAAGACTGGAGTAATGGCTGCTAAAAATTCAGCTTTGCTATCACAGGAAAAAAATATACATTTTAACACACACACACACACACACACACACACACACGAACAGTTATTTTAAATTGAAATAATATTTCTTAATAATAATAAATGCAGCCTTGGTGAGCATAAGAGACTTATTTTAAAATATTTTAAAAAGTCTTACTGGCCCCAATCCTTTGAATGGTAGTGTAAATTTGGCAGTTGAAAGGTTAATGTAAAAAACATCCAATAAATCATGTAAAAAATAAAAGAAATATTATAAATATTCTTGAAAAATGATTGAAAATAGTCTTTATTTTTATATAATCTTTATTTTCTCAATGTAAATATGTCACTATGTCTACTCTTTATAAACATGCACTCTCTTTCACCATCTCTAAATTTAATTAGCATTCTTCATTTCTCTCATCTGTTCTGCTTCATGAACGTCAAGCATGTGTGAATGTCAACCAAATAAAAAGGGAGCAGGTGCAGCTGTGAATGCTAAAAGTTTTTAATTCACCATAATTCATGACTGTCCTGTTTGTAGTAGCTACCTTTAGAATTATAGTAACTGTAAGTGCTTTACATTGCTTTGTCATGAGGAAGAATAGTCTGACACTGCATTTAAATGACCAAGGATCAAGTGAAATCCATCTGTGTCTGCCAGTCTGTCTCTCCATAGCCAAGTATTTGACAGCCAATGACCTTGAATTATCCTGTTTCTGTACAGTACAGCCGGACACTGTTATGTGTTCTCCTTTTAGAGCTACTATTCTGTTCTCATTAAAAAAAAATACATTGACAAAAGAGACAAGAGTGTTTTGAATATTTTGAAAATGAAAGCTCTGTTTATTAAAATAATGGCAGCTTAAAGGACATAAGAGGGATTGTGTGATCAGGAAGAAAAGTGAAAAGACAAAACACTACACAGCCTTGTGATATTTGTTTGATAGCAACGGCTGCCAAAAAAAGTATTAAAAAAGACTAGAAGAAATAATCTCTTCTTACAACCATCACTGGCTTTGTGCTCCCCATCAACACTCTCTTATTACAGGAAAATTACTGCTGCACTTTAATTCTACAGGGTGGTTTGATGGTGCAGGACCTCCCGCTAACATGGTGAGCCTGACTCAGCTTTCCCTGTATACCTCCCCAAACACACACACACACACACACACACACTCCTGACCTCCTCTAGGGAACACCTGTTCTCACTGAGAGACTTGAACAGCTCAGCACTACACCCTCCCAAACTACTATCATTAAGACCTTATAATCAAGAAACACTATTAACAAAAGACAGGATGCTTGAAATTAACTCCTTATTTTAAGAGAAACACATTTTTTCATACTGTGACAAAGAACACCAAGATAGAAGGACCAACATTTTCCCTGTCAGTACTTTTTTTTCTTGCTGTTATAGCTCATTTCAAAGCATTATATGTTTGGATTTTTAACTTCAGCAGCAGCTATTCTTTTGTTGATTTTATTTTGAGCTACTGGCTGCAATATCCTTCATTTCTCTCTCTGTCCTACTTCAGTAGCTGTCTAAACAGTACAACAGTTAGTGCCGGACAGGCCCGGTTCTACGGGGGTGCTACAGGGTGCTAAGCTCCCTCAAACGAAATCAATAGCACCCTCAGTTAATGCTGTAATAATGCCATTTCATTGCAGATTTGGCAAACTATCCAGTGCTTTATGGGTTGCGCTCTGGAGATCGGTTTCTATTTCAACATCTTTTACAGCGTTGAGCAATGTAGCCAATCACAGACATATCTGTTGATTTCTTGAACCCAACAGCCAATCAAAGGCATTTAAGTTATAATCCACTCACAGCTCAAATTGCCGCAGCAGTATTTGTTCAGGTGTTATGTTCAGCACGAATCATCTCAATTTAACAAAGTGTAGACGCAATGTAAATAAGAGATTCATTGTGCAGTGTAGAGAACTTCATGATTATAATGTAACTTTGTGAGATCACGATGAACAAAGATGAGTGACAGCGTTTAGTGATAATAAAGGGAACGCTCTTGCGCCATAGCAATGGACAGCACAAATATATATAAATCTGCAAAGATGTCAACAATTCTGTGTTTTTCTGTCAATATGGGGTGCTGTGTGTACATTAATGAGGAAAAAAAATTAACTTAAATGATTTTAGCAAATGGCTGCAATATAACAAAGAGTGAAAAATTGAAGGGGGTCTGAATACTTTCCGTACCCACTGTATATATATATATATATATTAGGCCTGGGCGATAAAACGGTATCGATATTTATCGACGGTACACCATCTTCGATTCCGATTAAAAAAAAAGTTTGATATAGCTCACGATATAGGCACATGCTATGACTGACGCAGACTGCACACACAAACATGAACACATGCTGAAATGAGTGCTGTGCCTGCCTGTGATGAGGAGATTGTGAATAAAGAATGAATATTAGTCGAATTTAAAATAAACATTTGCATTTGAATGTTAGGAGTGCATCAGGGATCGTCATCAGTGGCGTGCGAGATGCGGTGATAATGATGTAAGTGACGTTGTTGCATTGTTGCAATTTACTGTTTTGTTAGTCTAGCCCACGAGATGCGCCACTGCTGCGTTATTCATTCAAAATA